CTGCTAGGCTTTATGCTCAATCCTTTTCTTTTTTCACATTGAAATTCATGTCTGGATAGTTTTTTCACCAGCCCAAATGATGAAATGATATAAAAAAAAATTTAAATCATGTCGAAAATAAAATCAGGGACTTACCTGAGCAAGAATTAATTTCAGTTTCTTAGTTTATTCTGACTTCAAGACTGCTTAGGAATTTATTTTTTTAAACCTTAGAAATTTTTGTACAATGAGGAAATCACTTCCACTGTGACAGAGTCTTACTTCCACAATTTCGTATTTATCAATCACTGCTCTTCAAAACTTTGAGAAAATACCACTAACCTGGCTCCTTTCATTCAGGATTGTCAGCAACATTTTGGACTTACACTCAAGAGACCACCGTGGTGATCAGTCACCCACAGCACCACAGATTTTAAGCTTGGAAGAGGTTCTGAGCATCCAACTGCATTTTTCAAATTGTATCCTGTGTTCCCCATCTCAAGTCTTAAATTTCCACTAGAGACAGGGCATCGCTACACTCAAGAGCAGACTTCATAGCTTTTGGCTGCTTATGTGTTGGCCAGCATAAGTTCAGCAGTGATTTTGTGCGGCTCTGCTTCATGCAGCTGGAAGAGACCTTGGCTTTGGAGACAGGTACTTAGAGCTTTCTGCAGACCAAACGTTCATAAACATTTCACTGCTGGCTACCCATAACCCCCTAGTCACTCAGGAAGGCAAATCATGGCCCCTCCATAAGCTGCTCTGATGTGCTACAGAATTCCCCTAAAAGCTGCTTGGGTGAACTGAAGACCAGCTGGAGTTGCTATTCCCTCCCCAACCCGTTCAATCACTCTCTGAGTTCTCACATCCATCTTCAATACATTTTGCTAATTCCTTCAGCACCCTCTCATTACAAGGTTGTCTTTCTCACGTATCCATGCACAGATTTTCGTTAGGGTAACGTCACCTCCTTCAGCTTTGATATACACAATCTAGAGCTGCTTCTGTTCTTTCAGAACATGGATGGTTCTTATAGCCCAACATCTCATCTTTCTCTTGCATCCCTCACTGGCACCTTCATCTAGGATATCAAACATTAACTACCTTTATTTTCAAGATGCTTGATGCATGAATGTACTTATCCTATCTTTTCTTTTTTCCTAATTACTGAGGAGACAATATCCACCTCCAGTTTTGCAACAGCAACAGAATTAAAGAAAATCCACACAGTTCAATATAACCGCTGTGTTATTTTTAGAGTAATAAACAAATTGACAGCAGTTTTGATTTCTTTCCTCAGAAACTGTGAGAGTTGAAATAGCAACAGAAAGAATAGAAGCAATTCTACTTCTCTCTCAGGTGAACAGGACACTACAAAGGAGCTGACAATTTGACAATTTTCAGTGCAAGTTTTAAGTAGTTTCAAGAACCTACAGTTTGTACTTTTCAATTCAGAAACTCATTGCATTCCACAGACTCTAACAATGTTTGTATAAACAGGGCTACAAAAGTTTTAGGATAGTTGACTTGATTAATATTTATGAATATATTAAGGACATTACGCATTATACCAGCACACATGCAGAGCAAGAATACAATATTTTACTGTTCATTGGGATTTTATCAGACATTAACAAACACCTCTGCTATGCTGCACAGCTTGATTCTTTAGCCACCCAGGAAGGTTAGTAATGTAGATAAATAAATCTAGTACATGCCCTGATATATATTAGTGTAATTATAGTACGGTTCTTCAAGGTGCAGCATTAACATCCTCAGCTTATTCCGCAAACTGGCAGAAGACGCAAATTTTTGTTTGCTATTCCAAACATTCGGGCCACCTTGTATCCACAGGTAAAATACTCAGCTCTTCTCCAGCTACTCAGATTTTTAACATGAAGCCCATGTGGCAGGAGTCATTCTGACTCTGTCACTCCTTCACACATATAAAACATAAACTGGTAAATATTCCTGAATATTTCAACAGGGACAAGAACTCGCAACAGCTAATTCATCTGCAAAGTACAGTTCAGCCAGACTGGAGTAAAAATAGTGTTTGTTTTTGAAGTTTGACCAGTTGTCACCTGAACTTCTAAAAGGAAGCACTGTTCTCATCCCTCCTTCCAGCTGCTGTGCTCTGTAGATGACAGGACCTGTTTGAAGTTTTACCTTTATTTAAAAAGCTTAAGGCAAAATTCTACTCTCAGATCTGCAGGCAACATCACAACAAAGATGTTCTGCTCTCCTCACATGCACAGAGCTGGTCTGCTCCCCTTCAGGTACTGTCCTGGGAGCCACTGCCAAGCAAAGGGAACCCACGGTGGCCTAAGACCCTTTGTACAGATGGAAAAGCACTGCGTACAATGCAAAAAATGATACCCCACTGGATCCGGAGCTTCAGCAAACCACACACTCTCACCTTACTGTGCTTTGCTCAGATGTGAAGGACGTGTTTTTCAGCAAAAATAATAATGAAATGAAGCACACTGTCAATGAGGGGGAAAATGAGACTCCTCCATCCCTTCCATCCACAACTCTTCAGAAACTCAGTGGCCTTTGCCCCTAAGACTCAATAGCATTGTGATACTTCAGGATATTGTTGCACATCAGTACTGGGAAAGACTCAGATGACAATCCTCGTCACTATTATGTATGCAACTGTCGGCAAGGTCCAGAGCCTAAAACATACTTTAACCCTTTTATTGTATACAGGTTAGTTCCTACTGCCAACCCACATTCTTTCATTGCTCTTGGAGAAGCTGGGGATATATAAACCCAACAGCACCTTTAGCTTGAAGATTATAGTGACCAACAAGAATTGCAACTTCACCCCTATTTACACAGCGGTGGCTCAAAGACAACCATGAGAAAAACCCTTGTTCAAGTAATAGTACACTGTGTACATGTGAAAATGGATTTCTGGGATTTTAAGTCATGTGCAGAAGCACCACTTAAATTCACATCAAAGCCCTAGATCTCTTTCTCCTCAAATTAATAGTGTCAGCGTACAGATTATTCTGATGCTGTCCAGAAATGATTGCAAGTGGACTTCTGCGTGTGACGCACGCATGCATGTCCTGTGGCTATACACAGGGTATTTCTCAGACCAGAGGTGGAGATTTTTCTAAATCTGATTTTACAGATGGAAAGAAGAAACAGAGGAGAAATGATCTATCAGAGGACAAAAATGAAAGAATGCAGAAGTGTGGGAGTCCTACCCAGACTTCTGGATCACATTTTAACAGCCCAGTGCCACAAAAATATTTTTCTTTTCAACTTTTGGATAAATGCCATTTTAAATTATTAGAACAGGACCAAAAGCGGAGGATGCTTACATCTGGTTCCAGGAAAATTCTATAAGAACTTTCAATTTTTATTTAATTGTTTTTCACTTCTGGAACACCTGATATATAGAAGCCCCCTACTTAAAAAAAAGAAAAAAAGGTAAAAAAAAAAAAAAGTATGATT